CTCTTTCATACTTACACATACCATTATGGCTGCTAAAGTGAAGAGGAGAGTATTCACATATCCAGTATTACATCTTTACAAGACTGCCTATCAATTTGCCTGAAACTAATAAATAATAATAATAATAATAATAATAATAATAATAATAATAATAAAATTTATTTATATACTGCCCAATGGTTGCCCAATCCGGGCGGTTTACAGCATAAAACAATTACAATAAACAGCATATCCCTCCCCCCCTCAAAACATTATTAAACAATAACATAGTTAAAATCCTAGTAACAAATTAAACAAGAAAATCATAACAATTAAAATAATAGAACCTCTAATTTCATCCTTTTTATTGACTCTTTGTGTGGGCTTTTAAGCATGTGCAGAGTGGTTTTGCCACACTTCTGGGAAACCATAAACCACATGGGTGTTTGTCACATGGGGGGAAATTGGAAGTATAAACGGTGATTAACCCATGACTAACCCGCAATTGCACAAAGGGTTTTCACACTATGTCAGCGGGCTAAGCGCTGTTATCTCGTACAGAATCTGTGATTAACCCGCACTTGTGTGCAACTGCACAAATGGTTTTCACACAACGTTGAGATGCAATGTCATTAAAGTGTCATTATCCCATGAAGAACTATGCAAGAAACAACAGTAACTCATTCATGGAATTTTCCCATGAATGACCATTTGCTGTTTCTTGCCTGGTTATTCCCTAGTTCTTCACGGGATAATGGCACTTGCGTTAATGTTTTAAGCAAGTTTTAATGCCAATTGTGCAATTTTCATGGGTTAATCATTGTTTAAACTCCCAATTTCCCCCATGTGATAAACTCCATATATACACCTGAATTTTGATTGCCTAAGAGTTTACCTTTCAGAAGTTTGGGCCCACCTCATATTTCTCTCTTTTAAAGACAAGGTTTCAGGGGACAACCTGCATCCCATTGCCATCAAACATTCTGAACCTCCATCTTTGACTTTTCCCCAAATTTTTCTTCCCTTCCTGAATGAGAGCTCTATGCAAAGGGATCTTATATCAAAAGAAAGAAGTTGGCAGCATGAACTTCAACGAGAGCTAGAAACTTGATCTTCTTTCCATTTCCACAAGATATTAATAACGCTTCCTTCCTAACCAAGCCAAATTTAGTCTTGCAATGAACAAGCAAGCAAATGCACAAAGAAGAGAATAAATTAAAAAGCCCTGTTTCTTTGCTCAGTCGCTTGCTTCATTCCAGGGCAGAGATGCCCATCCCCAGAAGATGTCACTGTTTGTTGCCTTTGCCTGTGGCTTGTGTGGATTCCTAAACAGTTCACACAGAGGCGTTGGGTATGGTTGCAAATAAGTCCTGCATCATTGGCCGAACCTTCTGTAATGACAACCTGCCCAGGTCCAGCACCTTTCATCTTTGGATCTTAAAGCATGTTACAAGCGCTTATTATGTCCTGGAACGCCCCATGTGAGGTGGATGTTAAGTGTTATTAAATTGCATTGTGTGCAGAGGGAAACTGAGGCACGGAGCAGTCAAATGACTTGCCTCTGGTCACGGAGGAAGTCTGTGACCGAGCCATTAATAGAACCTAAGGCTGTTGGCTCACTGTCCCCTTTTAGCTTTTACGATTCCAATAAATGCCCGCACGAGGCCTAGCAAAGTAGTCATCTAGTGTTGTATCGCACTTTAACCTCGGTCTCAGCTCATCTTCCATCTAGAGATTGGAAAAGTTATTTTTGGACTATCCGTGCCGGGAGACACATCCCAGAAAACAGCTTTCCCAAACCCAGCTTCTATCTAATTGTGATATGGAGAGAGGGTACTTTTGTTTAAGGTGGAGGATGAGATTTTCCTTTTAGTTTGTTTTTGATAAAAATTAACCAAACTTCACAAAGCTCTTCCTATCTAGCATTTGAAGAACTTTGGATTTAAGAGAAGCTGAAAAGGGGAGAAACCTACACTTCTCGAAACCATTTAAGCCCAGCACTTTCAATGCTTATAGGATGGCTTGGTGGAGAGAGTGAGGCTGCTGTCAGAAGAAGGTGAAAAGAGAAGGCAAAATTATTATTTAAATACAAGTTAGGAATATTTCTAGTAGCAATTATCACAGCCTATAAAGTAGGGGTAGTTAAAGTGAGAGTTAACCTAGCCATCAATAGTTTGAAGTCATCAGTCTGTAAATGTGTTCCCTTTTTTTGCTTTTCAAAATATGGTAATACCATATTTTGACTATACCCTGAGAGCCAGCATGGCACAGTGCTTTGAGTATTGGACCACAGCGCTGGAGATCAGGGTTCGATTCTCTGCTTGGGCATGGAAACCCACTGGGTGACCTTGGGCCGGTCACACACTCTCAGCCCCAGAAAATCCCATGATAAGTTCTCATTAGGATTGCCAAAAGTCAGAAATGACTTGAAGGCACACAACAAAAAGGCTATACGCCATAACTATAAAATGTAACTTTAAAAGATGTAGTTAATACAGTGGGGCCTTGATATCCATTGGGGGTTGGTTCCAGGATCCCCCGTGGATAACAAAATCCATGGATGCTCAAGTACCATGAAATACAATGACAAAGTAAAATGGTGTTCCTTATTTTAAAAAATGGCAAAATCAAGGTTTGGAATTTATATTTTTGGAATATTTTCAAACCAGGGAGGGTTGAATCCGTGGATAAGAAGGGCAGACTGCATCTGGAAAGGAGTGATATTGTAACATGTTACGCTATAATCATTATGTAGTTACACCTTCATAATTGTAAAGAAAATTAGTTACAAGGCACTAGTTACATGTAAATAGTTATTTCCAAGTTCTCTCTGTGAAAAAGCATGTCCTTTTAATTGCTGACTCAACCACTATTCAGTTTCAATTGATGAAAATGGGCTCTTGTGTTATATTATGGGATTAGGAGAGAGATAGATTCTCACATTATGAATTAGGCAGGGAAGCATCTCATGATCCACTTTCTCCACACTTTACATAATTATAGACACTTCTGTCCTGTCCCCTGTTGTGGAGAAGGACAGAGGAAGGAGGTGACATACCCAAGGCTTGTTCTTGCAACAACCAAAAATGCAGCCATTACCCTGAACAGACCAGAGGATCTTGTTTGTCAATGAAAACTAATTATACTGGCCTTCGTGGCTTTAAAGGAACTCAAGAATCCAGTGGGATCAGATTTTCTGAGATCGACCCACTTTCTGACTCATTATTTGGCATTATAAAAAGTCAACAGTACCAAAGTGCAAATGCGTACGTGACTCTTTCATTTCAGAAGTCATATTCCATTTTTTGGTCATCATCAACCTGAAGCCGTTTTACTACTATCACAGAACAATAAATATTTTTTGAAAATATACAAAGATCAGATGGCCCATAAGAATACAGAATAAAAACCATGGAATCAGCAGAACGCAAATGCAGCTCAAACCCATTAAAAGCATATGAATTATCTTTACAAGTACAAAACAGGAGGGACTCCATCTGGTACTTGCAAATAACTGTCTGATTTTATTTTTGACAATTCTGGTGTGTGTGTGTGTGTGTGTGTGTGTGTGTGTGCATCTGTGTGTGGCAGTGAGACTGTCAAGACAGAGTGATAACTGCCTGTACTTCCAAATTTACCACTACACCCCCGGTTGTATATCCAGTTGTAAAATGTTTTCATTCCAGAGAGAGAGAGACTACTTACGCAAAATTTCAATTTCCACCCAAGTGTGATATCAAGGATCAAAAGAGATGAATCAGCAGTGATTTTCCCTGAAGGCACTGGTGTTCTCAAGCATGCACAACATCTGCAAGAAAAGACTGCCACTTGTAGAAACATGCAAGATCATAAGCAAGGAAATTTGAAGCTCAAAGCACTTGTGGAGATGGGGAGGTTACTTCATCCCAATTAAATCCCTGGCGCATAAAATGCTCTTCGGAATAAACAGCATCACTTCTACTGGTCTCTGTGGCTCCAAATGCAGCTACTAGACTGAGCACAGCTTTCTCCAACTTAACAATTTCAAGATATATTAGACTACCAACCAATCCACCCAAGACAGATTTAATTTTTTGTTGGGAAATGTTGTTGGGCTACAGCTCCCAGAAGTCCTACCCACTTTAGCCAATAGTAAGGAATGGTGGAACTTGCACTCTTATCATCTGAGGAGCCACATGATTCCCACCTTACCATAAGGATTTCTTTTGAAATTCCCTAATATGAATGGAGTACCCATCCGTATCTAGTCTAGTGGTCCTTATTTACTCCTGATCTCTGCTTTTCAAACTATAGTAGTCCCCCACTTTATCCATGGAGGATACATTCCAAGATAGTCGATGCCTAAAACCACGGATAGTATCAAACTCTATTCCTGTACGTTATATTTTTGGACCATGGCTGACCACATGTAACTGAAACTGCAGGAAGTGAAATTGGGGATATGGATGGACTACTGTAGTATGGATTATGCTGATTATTCTGAAAGAGGATTACCAGTACCATCTATTATTCTCTTGACTGGGTAACCAAACTGGAGGATGGAGGGGAAGAACCAGTAGATCTTTCATACCCTTTTATGAATTCTCTTAGCATACACAACCCATGTCTGCTGAGGCGTTGTATGGGTAATAGTAGCAGAGATTGGAGAAGTCCCTTTTTTGGACTACAATTGATGACCATTGACCACACTGGCTGGGAGAACTCTAGGTGATGTTCTCCAAAGACACAAAGTCCATCCCAGCTCTGCTGTCCGACACGCTTGTAACTGGACATTTCTGTATAAAAATGCATTGACTGCCTGTCTGCTAAGACTGGATTGGCTGATGGTTGCAGAAGTCCTTTCTAGAAGGCCTAGCTGACTCCATCTGGCCTTGAATCATAGAGTCACAGAAACATAGACTTGGAAGGGGTCTCATGGGCCATCTAGTTCAACCCCCTGATCAATGCAGGATCTCCAACTAAAGCATCATCATGACACTGGCAAAATATTTGGCATTAAGACATGGGTATAGAGTTGATAAGCGAGTGTGGTATAGTGGTTTGAGTATCGGACCCCGATTCTGGAGATCAGGGTTCAATTCCCTGCTTGGCCATGGAAATGCACTGGGTGATCTTGGTTAAGTCACACACTCTCAGCCCGAGAAAACCCTATGATAGGTTGCCATAAATCAGAAACAACATGAGGGCACACAACAACAGATAGAGTTGATATATTGCACAGATTATACACAAGCCTCAGTTAATTTTTCCCCAATGCATTGTTTGCCCTTTCCTGCCAAGCCACGCATCTCCTCCTGTGCAATCATATTAATTCTCTCTAGCCCCTTTCCTCCAAGGCTGGGCCGATAAAAGATGCTGGACTGCACCCAAGAGAAACAGATCCACCCCTCTGGTATACAAAAGAGATACAGCAATCCTGGTTTGGAAAGCACCTATTATGATCACGAAACTGCCTCCCCAGCACATTCTTGGGTACCTACATTTGCAGAGCCTTTTCTGTAGGCAGCGTTTGGTTCTTCTGGGGGTGGGGGATTCATTTGGCCATTTTATTTATTGATTTTTAACAGAAAGAATCTAATAGACAATGAAAATCAAAATGATACACATTCAGTAAATACATATAGACAACAAAGAAACAGAGAGAAGAAAAAGAATGAAAAGATACAGACAGACAGACAACTAAAACCCAATAGGGCTCTGACACCCCTCCAATCTTGACTGTAATGAAAAGAAAGATTTAAAAGACAGGAAAAAATATTATTCTACCATTACAGAACCAAACAAATAGTTCTCCTAGCGTTACCAATAATCATGACCTCAGACTGTTGTATCATTAGATTTCTTATTGTTCAAAAAGTCCATAAATGTTTTCTAGTCTTTCAAAAAATCTTCAGTTGGCTTAGTCTTTAGCTAACCCATGTTAGTTTGGCAATTTGGGCTAATTCGGAAATTTTTACAAACCATTTTTCTGCTGTCAGTGCTTCAGTCTGTTTCCAAGATTGTGCAGACAATAACCTTGCTGCTGTTATCAAAGATGTTGTTGTCCCTATGTATTATCCAGCTCTTTATCCATCGTGCCCAATAGAAAGATTCCTGGTAACATTACAAAATCTACATTTAATTTTTTTTAATTAACATATAAATCATGGACCAATAACTTTTCATCATCTTGTAAGTCCACCACATATGAAAGAAAGAACCCTCCTTATCTTGACATCCCCAGCATTGGTTTGAA